CGGGGGACGCCGGGCAGCTGGCACGGCCGGTGCCACAGGAGCGGGGTGCAGGTGAGGGGGCTGGTCCTGGGCTCAGATGGGGGCACCGTGCTCCATCCCACCGCAGCAGGGGTGCAGGAGCCCACCTCAGCTCCTGCGGAGCAAACCGTTGCGGCGGGGGGGGCCCCACCCGCCGCATTTTAATCACAGGATCGTGCCAGGAGGTGCAAAGGTCTGGGAATGAGCTGGCAGCATGAGGGGTGCTGGGAGGCAGAGCAGCACCCGGCAAGCAGGGCTTCACGCGGCGAGGAGGCAGATGGAGGAAGGCCACGTCACCCCTCCAGATGGGATTTATTCCCCTCCAGCAAACCAGGCTGCTCTGCCCTGGGCTGGAAGCAGGCAAAGACACAACGACCAGACGCAGACCCATGGAGAGAGCAGCTGCTCCACACCAGAGCCAGGCGGGCATTCCTTAGGCAGGGCAGGAATTCATGAAGCCTTAGCAGCAAGTAAGGCTTCCCTGGGCACACAGCAGCACCAGGCAGGAGTTCTGAACCTCACCTGGGGCACAGAGCTGGGTCCTTGCACAGACTTCCAGCAGCACAAGAGATGCCCACGGGCACCCTGCCACTGCCAGCAGCCCCCACCTGCCCAGGAGGGGCTGCCCAGCACAGAGAACCGGGTTCCATCAGCACCTTCTCCCAGACTGGCTCATGTATCAGATCACCACACCTGATGCTTTCAGCATCACTATGTCATGCTCTTCTGATGCTTGCTGCACCTGACTTCCCCATTTTTCTGGATACTTTTTGCAAGAAGAGAAAGGGGGAACATCCTGTCGTGGACCGAGACACAGGGAGAACACAGACACTGGCACTGACATGGAGTTAAAGAGGTCTTTAGAACTTCACAGCACCAAATAGTCCCCGAGATGGGAGCAACATCCCCAGGACACTAACCTTGACCAACACCCTCTGGTGCAATCCTCAGAGAAGAGCACGTGAACCAAGCCTGTTTCCAACGGAGCAAGAAGCGAAAGGGAAGAGGAGAGAGACCCTGGCCCGTGCAGGAGCCTGTTACCAACAGACGCTCCTTCAGCCTCGGAGTAAGACCTGGCTGGATGTGGCGGGGCCACTGAAACCCCAGAGCTTTTGGCTCCGCACTGGGCACTGCATCGCAGCCCCCATCCTGCAGCAGGTTCAGCTCTTTGCCGGCTGTTTGTCTGGCTGCAGCAGCGCGGGGAGCGCTCCCCCCACGCAGGCGGCTGCGGTGCGCTCACTCCGCACCATGCGGTGCTCCTGGGGGGGAAACCCCACTGCACACATGGGTCAGGCAACAGCTGGAAA